AAGGACGGAACAGACTGTTGTTCGAGCCAATCTGGTGTTATCAAGGACGCTCTTTTATATGACCCGAATAAAAATTTGTTCCGTCCTTATAATAGTAGAGTTAATTTTTCTATAGATCACAGAAAACAATGTTTTCTACCAAACACCAAAAAAATTCACTTTACTATTATAAGAACAAAACATGGTGTTATTCAGGCCATATGAAAGAGCATCATTGATAACCACCGATTGGCCTGAACAACACTATGTTTTGTCCTTACAATATTAAAATTCAAGCCTTCAGTTAAGAGTCTTATGCTGATTTTTCAGAAGGTATGGAACCTCGTTGTTCCTGAAAAGTTCATCATGGGCAGAAATCCTTTATACGCGGGTACTGTACTCATTGAGCTCTACAAAATAACAAATACCCGATTCGAAACGGAGACTCACATTTGGGGACCTTCCCTCGTGAGTAACAAGAATGTATGTATGATATAAATTTGAGACGTAACAACAATAGTTTGACGAGTCAATCAAAAAATGATACAAATCATGTATTTTTTTTATTAGAGAAATAATGTTTTCTCCATATCCAGGATAGATTAGTTTTTTTCTTGTTAAGACCAATGGTAGTCTTTTAAAAGCAGTTTTTTAAAATGTTCCTCTTATGGATATGATTCGTGAACAGTATTCTATTCGTGCTAAAAGAATCACCCAGGACGAGCGTTACGACAGTCATAAACGATCGTACACGACGTTGTATGCGACCGTGCACGGTCGTGTACAGTAGCAATTACGACCGTATTTCACCGTATTACTTGACGCCAGAGTTACGACCGTATGTCGTCGGTCGCATACAGTGTCGCTTGCCATCATATTTCGCATAAGTTTTCCGTACCTTCCCCACCCCTCTCTCTCACCCCCCAAGTACAATGCGTACATGGTATCTCTATAAAAAAATATATATATTTTTATTTTTATTCCATTGATATACACATTTTGACAAGCTGTTGAGTCGAACCTAATTTTAAAAAAATAATTCATATTTGAAATTCATACTTACATTCCTATAAGCTGTTGGATAAAGCATAAATAAAAAATAATAATATTTTGTATTTGAAATTTATACTTGCATTTCTATAATCAGTTTGATCAAATCTAAATAAAAACAAAAAAAAATAATTCCATTTCAAATTTGTACTTACATTTTTATAAGCTGTTGAATCATATATCTAAATAAAAAATAATAATATTATACATTGCTAATTTATACTTACATTCCTATCAGTTGTTGGATTAAGCCTAAATAAAAATAAAAATAATAATTTCGTTATAAAGTGATGCTTACATTTCTATAAGCCGTTGAATCAAATCTAAATAAAAAAACTAATTAAATTTAACCCCTTGAGTTTCAGTTATGACGGCCATTCACAGGATTGGAATTATTATCTTTTGGTGCATATCTGAAGGAGACGTATCGAAAAGTAGAGTTTCTGCTGAGCATGAATAACTTATACCTAGTTGAAAAAAACGAAATCGAGGTACAATTATCGCAAAAGTTCGAAGACTACTTCTAACACCTTGGCTGGGCGGAATTTAAGTGTAATAAACAGACTCAATGAAACGTAGACTAGTTGATGCGTGTGCTGGGTGCATCTTATGACATATATCTGTAGGCGAAAATAGGACATGGGATGAATAGGCACATCAATAACCTATTCAAATAATGATTGAAGAGTATGGACGTCTATTTTACGGCTCAACTAAATATCTGTCCACTATAAAAGCGGTGCGTATATCGAAAGAAAATATGGAATAACTCTTTTTAGGGTAACTGATGCACTTTCGATATTATGAATACGTTTGTGGTTAATTGCTTTTATAAATTGTAATTACTAAAACTAACTAACTGAGCAAAACCTTGGATTCACCGCGATTGACCGTCGGTTTGAGTTTGAACCATCGGTCAACCCCGGTTAACTGGCGGTTTTTATTTGAACCACCGGTTACCGACGTTTTTCATAAAAAAAGACGATATGGGAAGAATCTAGCTAGCTCATTGTTAATAATTAGAAACCGTATTTCATGTAGATCATGCAAAGTGGAAAAGAGAAAAGAAAGAAATAATTTGTAACTAGAAGTGACACATAAAGGGTGTTCACTAAGTTTTGACTCATTTAATCAATAGATTTATTGATTAAATGGGTCAAAACTTAGTGAACACCCTTTATATATCACTATCAAGCTATCTTGCTATATACGAGAAAAATACACGACCAAAATACGATCGTATACGAGCGGCGTTTACGATGGTCATATGCAGTGGTCGTTTACGGCAATCGTATATAGTCGTAATGCATCGTATACAATCGTCGTATACAATCATCGTTATTCGTCGTGTTTTTTTGAATACGGCCGTATACGATCGTAGATTTTAAACCTGGGTAGTTTGTTTGGTTCAAAGAGATGGTAGAAATATTTGAACTTTTGTTCGTTGAAACCACTTTTGTCTACTCTGTAAGAGTCGAAAAGAAATCATCTCTTTTAAATTTGTTAAGTTTCTGCTTATTTAATGCATAATTGGTGCCCACATAGAATAGCTCTAATAAAATTAAATGCCTTACAATGATTAGCTCTAAATTAGCTGTGCGGCTCGAGTATCTGGAATAATATTCTTCACTAGAAATCCACTGTAGGAATAGAACAGAATTTCTTTATGCGACAATTCTAAATAGCTAAAGATGTTGGTGTGGGTGGGGATGGATTAAGATATGAGAGTGATGTCGTTGGCCGTCCCTTCAACCATCTACACTCTCATTTCGATTTGTATCAGATCAATCAGATTACTTTGATTACTATTTTAGTGAATAAGATTTCACTTTTTTAATTAAAACACTGTTAGGCTAGGAAGCAGTAGTCTTTTCTGAAAAAAGAAGATGAAAGAAATCTAATGTGCTGATTGAACCACTAAATATGTTAGAAGCATTAACAATAATATAGGATACTATCATAGTTAATTGATGTGGGGGTTCATCAAAAGCTAAATGCTATATTATTGAAAAACGTGAAGTATCAAATGAAAAAGATTTAAATACCAGTTAGTGAAACAAAAAAGAAATAATACGATGTTTATGTTGAACATCTTATACGTCATATTCAATATAAGTTATATGTTTTTATTGAAAATTATTCAAATGATCGTTCAATTAAACTTGTATGATGATGCCAACTATTGATGCAGATAATGGTGCAACTATTCGAAATTATGTTGTGATACAACAACAAATTGGATTTTTTTAAGATGACAATATGTTAAAAGTTCATTACAAACATGTACATATCTTGTGAGAGATTTATAACATCAGATCTACAATACATAGACTGTTGAAGCAATACCTATGGTATGAAAATGTAAAATACAATGTAGTCGCTATTGATAATCACAGATATATTGTTTTATTCAATTTTTTTAGAAACACATTTCTTCGTCATTCATTATTACATGTTTTGATAAATATGACAATGACTATTATCTTCGGATAGTATGTAGCATACATGTCGACACATATCTTAATAATCTGAAGTAGCTATAACTTGAATACTCTATTCTTTTTTTTTAATAATCTGTGTTCATTTTTAAAAGAACGATTATCTAAAAGTCATAATCAATTTTTCATGTTTTTTTTTACTAGCTTGCATCTTTTTTAAAATATCCAAGATCAAATAGAACGCAGAAAATGATAAATAGTTAAAAGAATTTCAGGTGATACTCATTCTATGGTAGAAGATAAATGTGTTCATGATGTGTCGCTATATATTAGTAAATACATCATAGGCGGCGGAACGTATAGGCTTGAAAAGCTTGAGCCTCACCTAAATTGGGTTCCTGTAAGCTCAGCCTCACCTGAATTAAGGCTCTATGGTTTGATCACACTGCTGGTTGTTTAACTAGGCAGAACCATTTTAGTGCAGAAATTGAAACTTTCTGCAGGTTTATTTATCTATTGAGATGAAAAACTGAAAAATTGAGATGGTAATGAATTCTACCATCTATGTTCTTATGATTCTTAGTGGCGTCTTTTATTTTATACACTCAAAGTACTATATAAAATAGACCAATCATCAAGTCGTACGCACAAATGAAATGTAGCTGTATTCTGACCATTTATCTTCCCTTTCATGATATTATCATTCAATCCATTTGAAGGAGTGAAAATACGGCTCTGATAGTTAAGACTCCCGCAAAAATATTAACTAAATATAATCTTAAAAGAATTGATTTTCATACTTATCTAAATTTCTGACTGATATTTTCAGAATGTATTCGACATCATCATGAGTTTATTGTGATTGTATAAGATTAAGGACAACATTCTCGATCAAAATAGAATTTCATATTTACATAACTGCTGATCATACAAAAATACTTTCTTTCAAACACAGTATTAGTGTGAATATTTTAGATTATAAATAACAAATATCATCGAAACGATCTGGTGAATCAATTCTTTCGTATTTTAAAAAAGTCAAAAGGTCAGACGCAATTTCCTTAAACTGAAGAAATTGCTTTGGTAGATTTGAATGATCTTTCAACGAGTTTTCAACATGAAAACATGCAAAAATTTCCCCCAAGGCAAGCTTCTCTGTGTGCTAATACATCAAGTTCATCGAATCTTGAAAATTTTTCTGAACTCGAAAAGGAGTCAAGATCTCTTGATTGTTCTGATAAAGCATCAGATACTGATATTCAAATCTTGCAGTCTCAATCAACAAATTCATTTAGTCAAATATCATCGTTTGTTACAAAATGTAATTCGTATTGTTGCAATTCTTCTACAGCATATCATCCTATTAGAGAGAATGAATTGGTTTTGACGACAATCGATAAACGATCTTGTCAAAAATGATGGTTTATTGATTATCCTTGGTTAACCTTTTGTAAGGTGAATTCTGTATAAAATAAATATGGATCTGTGTTCAAAATTTAGTCAAAAATTCTCTTGTTATTTCAGGTCCTGCCACGAGTTTTTTATTATTCATGTCGAACAGCATTTGAGCATGAATTACATCCAAACGAAATGAAGTTAAATCCTACTTATAAAATTTTTATATCCGAAGGTTATTGTGATTGGAAGAATGCCCTTCCAAGATTTAAATTACACGAAACAAGTAAACTTCATCTTGATTCAACTTATGTTATTAATCAACAATCAAGGCCAACTATAGCAGCACAATTAATATCATCAACCAAAAGACAACAAGAATAACGACGACAAGAGCTTTCTATTCAAATTTTATAAAGAAAAACTTGATGAAATTGATCCTAATCAAACAATATCAACGTTCATATCGTCGAATGAGAAAAGACAAGCTTTTTTTGGAGCGATAGTGTAGCTTGAGTGTGAAATAAATGATTCTTATACTCTTTGAAATCTTTGTAGTTTTGAACGGCTTAGAAATTCTTATGTAAAAAGTAGCGAAATAGCGCAGTATCTTGCATGACAACAGCAGAAATAAATAATTTAAAACAGGTTATCATCTGAACTGTGTTCAGTTATGCATATGTCAATCAGAGGTGGGCGGTCCACGGGTTTCAACCCGCGGGGCCACGTGGCACGGGTGGGGCGAGGGGCAATTTTTTTTAGTTCTTCGGAGTTTGCGGGGTACGGTTTTTGTTGAAGATACGGGCGGGCGAAGCGGGTAAGACTATTTTAAAAAAATACGGGGTGCGGACGGGGCGAGGATAGATATGCACGGGTTCGGGCGGGTAAAGAATTGTTGGGGGCACGATGAAGGACCGTGAAAAATTATCGATAAATGTTCTTATTATAGATATGCACTACGAAGCACATTTTGATAGGTTCATTATTTTCATCCTATTAATAGCTACAAGTAGTGTTGGGCCAAAACTCTTTATGTTAGAAACGAAAGAACGAAAAGAAAAATTCTTATGACTATGGTGTAAGTAAAACGTAATTTTTCTTTCCTTCCTGTACGAAATTACAAACACTGTGTTCAGCAATGAGAATAAGATATGTGATTCCGTAATTTTGATACAGAAAGACAAGAAAAATGACGTTACTTACACCATAGTCTTAAGAATTTTTCTTTTCGTTCTTTCGCTTTCACGTAATAGTTTTGGTCGATCACTAGCTACAAGCTTGCTTCTTCTTTGCTTTTTCCTTTCCTTATCGTTTCTTATATTGAACTTCGATTATTTATTTGTATTAACACGTGAAAAAAACAAACAAAAAATCATTTGATATTTAAAATTAATATTTGGAATCGATTTTCTCTCCTATCAATAACAATAATCTCATTACATGATTTTCCATTTGATGAATCATTTGACGGTATGATATAGTCGAATACCTCTTGCTCATATTCAAAATTTGAATATGAACAAGAGGTATTCGATGACATCATACTGCTTCGATCGGCTGCAACTCATTCAGAGATTCACGTATAAACTTTGCCTGAAATTTTTTTTTGTAGTAATTTGATCAATTATGTAGAATAAGTCACTGAAAATACAATAAAGGATGAAGAAAAATTTTATTCGGGTTTCACGGGTGCGGGGCGGGGCCCGTCAAATAATTGACGGGGCGGGCGGGATGGGGTATAGGTTGAACGGGGCACGGGCAGAGGCGGGAACGCCAAGAAAAATTACACACGGGGATCGGCGAGGCGGGTTGGCAAACGCAGCGGGACGGGTCCCGCGGGGCATCAAAAATCGATGCCCCGCCAACCTCTGATGTCAATATAATATGTATAAAGTTTGCTTATTATAACGAAAAAATTTCCACTGCGCCTCACCTGATTTCGAAACGTTCCGCCGCCCCTGAAATACATATCGAAGTTTTAATTATATGAATTTCTTGTAGTATTATAAGAATGTTTGAAAACAGACATGTAGATAAAATGGATATTTTATGAGAACGTTGCTGCATGGTTTTCATTGCATTTACTGATATAATCGAATATTTATCTTGCAATCACATATCGTACACGAAAACAATACAAGAATAATGAAAGATGAGTATATTTTTTTCTATACACTGTGTTGTTCAGAAAGACGATGTGCCTGTAGTACTTGTAATTACTACGTTGAATACAATATGTTTACAATTTCAGTGTTTGAAGTCAATCTCCACTCTTCTTCGTAAGAAAAAACTTATATAAGAAACATGAGTTGGGCACATACTTTATGTTTTTGACCCAAAGGAGAAAAAACGAAAATTTTGTACTTCATCGTACTCTAAGGATATGTAAAACCTATTCTGCAGGGCATCTTAGCTATTTCAAGTCTACTATCAATTTGTGTCACGAGCGTATTAATTTGAGTTTATCTCATATAAGTTTGTCTCGTAATGAAGCCTAAATACTTCATCTTACTCCCAGTATTTGGGCTTTATTGTCAGACAGGCTTGCATAAAATGAACTCAAAGTAATAGGCTCGTGACATAAGTTGATAGTAGACTTGTAATAGCTAAAAAGTTCTTGAGGATAGATTTAGCACATCCTTGGAGTACGATGAAGTACAGAAGTTTGACTATTTCTCTCTTGCTTTTAATGCATCACAATACAAAACCTGTATAAATGACTTATAAATTATTTTTCTTTGTAATATTCGATTTATTTTTCGTCTTAATGATATCATGAACATAGTCAAATCGTTACATCAATAAATGTTGAATCTTTATAGAAATAACGGATGATGGTACCATATAATAACATACATTTATCACATTCTTGCTTTCCTTACTTTCATATTAACCTTCAAATTCCTCTTCAGATTAATTAAACTTGTTGGAAAATAAGAAAAAGTGTAAATAATTTTCAATTCAATCTCGAGACTTGTGAAGATTATCAAGTATTCATATATCTTAACTAAAGGGGTAGCATGAATTTCGTCGTACTGACTTTCGCACTTGACTTTCGGCAATTGCCAAAAGTTGTGTTTTTGTAAAATTTTTGGCTGTAAACAGGAGGGATCTTTGGCAATAGCCAATACTTCAGTTTCGGCAACTATCGGAGATCTTAATAAAAATATTAATCAACTAATTAATTACAGTAAAGAAACCACACTTTGGGCATTGTGCGATTTCAAGTTTCCGGAAGTCCTTAAACAATATTAGTAGACCTTATGAGTGATTATATCGTCTAATAACACATACAGTTTGAATTGATCATGGAGAAGGTGTGTGAGAGAATGTATCAAGATGCTAAGTACGCTTTTACAAGAATTCGGGTTCATCTATCGCTCAAAGCTCACTAAAATAATTGACAAAAGTATAGTTTCTTTACTATGATCAGTTAGTTGACTCATATTTTTTAACAAGACGTCTGATAATTCCCAAAAGTGAACTATTGGCTATTGCCAAAGATCACCCCTGTTTACAGTCGAAAGTCCTACAAAAACACAACTTTCGCCAATGCCGAAAGTCAGTACGACGAAATTCGCGTTTCCCGAAAAAAATATCAAAACTCAATAGTACTCACCTCAAGCTTATCGTCTAATCACTTACTCAATGTGTATTGAACTGTGTAAGAGAAGAACTTACAGTTAAGATATAGTACTAAGTGATTGGTTCACAATCAACATTATTCAACCACGTAGTGGTTGCTCATATTTACAAAGCAGTAATGAAGAAGTGTAGTGGTTTGAAATGATTAAGTCATAGCCAAAGCTTTAACCTATGTATTATCCCTAGATATCCCGAAAACAATATAGAGATAGAGACTACTATCACAAATATTATAGCATAGCTCGTATAAGAAGAATGTATAATCGGCTATGATTAATGTCAAAGGACATAACTACTGGTTTCAATTCAAGAGAGCTAAGCTGATGAGCAGACCCGACTTAGGGAGTTTGAATAATGCTTTAACAAGCCTAATAATTGCGGTCTATGGAATTGAATCAAAGTGTTTTAGGTCAAGAATTACAATCTGACTCTTCCTTGGTTGAAGTTCTCATAGGATGCACACAAATTGAACTAGTTTTTTCCAATCATCTGAATTTATGAATCCAATAGACCTGTTACTCTTTTTTTTATAGCTGTTTTAATGCTCTACGGGATCGGTACTCATTAGCACATGTATATAAGGTATTTTTCCGAATTATGGTAGACATTTTTTATTCAACAAGACTTAATGAAGTACATTAATTAAGTGCAAAGTGATTCACTTAATCTAAAATGAAGTGTTAAGTGATAGCTTTAAACTTAATTTTAAATTAATATTAATGGCCGACCCCTAATTTCATCTCTGTCAGAGATTACATTAGTTGGCATTTTTTCCAAACCGAAAATATCTCTGACCGAACCAGTCCCATATCTGATAAACACTACTTTTACTTCACACTTTTTAC